TTTATTACTTGCTTACTGTTTTAAGTGTTTGGAAATACAAATATTGAAAAATACTAAAATATTTAAAAAGAAACATTTTTTGTATATAGAAAAGAAAGAGGAGCATGTTTATTTTGGCTAGTGACTAGGATGGGTCATCAAACGATGCAAACAAAAAAAGTTCTAGAAATCCCTGTAATTGTTAACTCTTCTGATCACGTCCAAAAAGAAGCCTTCATTAAGTTTTTTTCTTCCTGGAAATTTTTATATTAGAACTTTTGCCCTAGTTTTTGACACCACTTCTAGTAATACTGGATGGAAAGCTAGATGTGCAGCACTCGTTGAGAAAGAAGTAGGTCATGTACTGATCTGGGATGCAGTTAATGAAAGTCATAAAGGATTTATCGAGCCAGTTTTTAAAATGCTTTAAGACATTTAGGATTCTATTTCTTCCGTGCCTACAGGTATAACAAAATTTAAATGGCTGGAAAAGAACCATCCTCTTCATTGCCAGGCAACACTCTTTCTGAAATAGGTGTAGGCTAGTTGGTGCCTTGAGAAGAATATCTTTCTAAGGGGCGATTATCAAGAATTGATTGAATTCACAGTTCATTATTTTTAAGGTGACTTTCCAAAAGGTAAGATGTTTAACTTCCAAAAACCGGGTGCGCATCATAGTTTAAGGTTTATGCGAAATGAGCTGTACATCTTAAAATTTCTCATGTTGGATTATCAGATTTCATCGCTCAACCCGGATCAATGTCATAAATTGAAAAGAATAGCTAATTTAATCACTCTGTTTTACGCAAAGACTTTTTTACAAAGTCAAATCTCAGTTATTGCACCGAAAGTTGATTGTCAGTACATCACCGATATGCAGTGGTACCGTGATACAGACAAAATTGCTTCTGATGCAGCCATTCAGTCTTGCAATAGGAACCTTTGGTATTTAAATGAGGAGGTAGTTATTTTTACATTGTTTGATGAGGACATTTCGCTATACTGTGTGAAAAGTTGAAGTTGTTTAGAAACATATTTGTTAACATTTTAAGCAAAAATACTCAAAAAAAAAAGGTAAAAAAAGGATTTTTTCAACTTTTTCTGAGTGGGGGACACTTAAATTTTTATATATTTGAAAAATACATGATTTTTTTTTTTCCTTAGTCTTGACTTAAAATTTTTTTCTTAGTCTTAATTTAAAAGTTGGTGTAATAATGCGAAAATAATGCGGGAATGGGACGCTCTAGGCTCACCTTACTATTTCCTTTAAATGCTTAAAAAAACTTCACTGTTAAAATTGGGGACCTTTAAATTAATTTTAATTTAAGTTAAACTTTTTATAAATATAAATGAGTAAAAAATACTGTGTGAAAAGTTGAAGTTGTTTAGGAACATAATTGTTAACATTTTAAGCAAAAATACTCAAAAAAAAGGTAAAAAAAGGATTTTTTCAACTTTTTCTGAAATACACTTGAAATACTTGATAAATTTTTTTTTTTCCTTAGTCTTGACTTAAAAATTTTTTTTCTTAGTCTTAATTTAAAAGTTGGTGTTGTAATTCAAAAATAATGCGGGAACGGGACACTCTAGGCTCACCTTACTATTTCCTTTAAATGATATAAATGATACCTATTTAATAAAAAAGAATCTAAAATTGAAATTGAAATCTGAAATTGGTTAACTTTGTAAGTTTTATATTTTAAAAAACCTTGAATTTATAAATACTTAAATTGCTAACTTTTTATCAGATAGTTAAGAGTTTTTTTGTTTTTTTTAAATTTATTAGTAGTTTTTTTGATTAACCGTTTTATTTCAAATCGTTTAACAGATATTTATATTTATTTCAGATAAAATGTTGAGCTATCACAATGAATCTTGAAACAAATAATTTTTAACCTATATAAAACTTTTGACAATGAATTTCATGCTTGACTTAACTATTGAATTATAATAAAAAAAGAGCTTTGCAGGTCTGATCTAAAGACAATCAAAAAATGTCTCCCTGCACATTAAAAACTTCCTGTGTCAACCTACAAATGGCGCCAGGAATCTAACAAACATTTATTGACCTGATTACGATTTAAGAGAAATATCAGGTATTTGAGCAACTAATAAACGATTAGAGTTAATAAAGTATAAAATCTCTTAATATCATCATAAGTCTAAAACCTCTCTAAAACCTCTCTAAAAATGTCAACTTTAATCAAACTATTTGACTCATTTATTCCTTGTTTTGTTTGATTACATCATAATTAGTTGAACTATTTTTTTAAAAAAATACTTTTTATTATAAAACATATTGTTTAGAATAGTTAAAGTGTCAGTTACACACGTTTATTAATTTTGAGAAGCTAGACGATAATAGGTCTGCAATTTAAAAAGCAAGACAATAATAGGTCTGTAATTTGGGACAATTTGTCTTGAAAATCGGAGTATTTTAGCAACTTCGTTTTTTCTCACATGTTAATGTTCAATGTTACCAAAGATGCTTTCGTCAATATTAGCAACTTTTTTATGCTTTAGTTTTTTAAAATCATTATAAAACCTTGTTTAAGTTCTATTTTTTTCATGATTGCATTACTGAATTCAATTTTCATGATTTTTTTTTATGATTGCATTACTGAATTCAATTTTTTCTGTCAAATTTGGCCCTAAATTAAGTAAAGATCTGTTTTCAGCAACTGTTTTAATATTGCAAATCATTTTACCGTCAGTTAAAAGCATTTGAGAAAATTTTATTTTTTGCACATTGGCTTTACCAATTATGTTTGCGTTTTAAAAAATGGCTGAGTTAGTTCTAATAGAAATCATACCTTATAAAAAATGAGGTTAGTGCATGTCGGGAAATTTTCATTTTTTAAATAGAGCATCAAGATAAAGACTGACTAAAAAGTTAACTTTTGGGCAAAGTGACATATATTTGGGCAAAGTGACATTATTTAAAAAATATGCACATGCAATAATGACAGAATGTAAACTATTTTACTAAGGTTAAAATCAAGTTTTCTAATATTTTTATAGGTTCTGCTACTTTATGCTTTTTTAATTTTAAACATTTTGTTCACCCTTTAAAAATGCTTTTAAGAAATTTAATTTTAAATACTTTGTTCACAAAATTTTTGTGCACATAAGGAACTTACGCCATGCTAAATTCCTTTAAGCACATAAGGAAGATAAGGCACAATACATTATTTTATGCACATATGATCTTATAACTCGCTAAATTCATGCCTATCAGTTTTTAAATAGAAATTTATAGTTTTTTGCAGTCATTAAGCACTTCTATTTACTCAACCATATAGCTGGGGGGCAAACCCCTGCAAAGCGTTGGGGGACCTGAGCTGGAAAGGTTTTCCATGTAAGTTTTTGCAGGGGAACGGGGTAATATATAGTTATGACGCCGTGTTTACTTATGAAAACAACTTTTATTTTGTTTTTTTACTGTTGGTTGTGGCGGTACTTAAAGATTTGCTTTAATATTTTTGTTATCTCAAATCCCCAATGTACACGTATGTGTACAAAAAATATTTTTTGAACTGGGTATTTTGACCCTATATAAATTAGTGATATGATATTAATATACAACTACCATAAGAAAACTGAATTAGTTTAAAGTTAGCTTTTCTAATTAGAGCTTAGGCCTTAAAGGGTTAAAAACTACTGGAAAAACGTGAACAAAATTGATAAAGCGAAGTTTAGTTTTATAATTATTTTATTTACAGGAAATGCTACGTCATACTATGAAGCCATACTATGTCATACTATTAAAAATTGAAAAGTATAAACTTAAAAATCTTTTCTTTTTTCTTGGGTGGTGATCGCGATAAGGCTTTTATGATTTTTAAACTAAAGGTAATAACTATACCCTCCCCCTCCCTAATGGTTTCTTTTTTTATTTTGGAAATACAGGCTAAACTTTTAACAAAAAACAACAAAAAAAAAAACCCGAGACCACAAATATTTAAATTATTAGCCTTTTTTACATAATATTTTCTTGAAACTGAATAGTGCCTTCTACACCTTTTCTGGATGAATTTAAAAGGAATACGAATCAATTTAAAAGGAATACGAATCAATTTAAAAGAAATACAAATCAATTTAAAAGAAATACAAATCAATTTAAAAGAAATACGAATCAATTTAAAAGAAATACTAATTTAAATTGATTCGTATTCCTTTTAAATTGATTCGTATTTCTTTTAAATTGATTCGTATTTCTTTTAAATTGATTCGTATTTCTTTTAAATTGATTCGTATTTCTTTTAAATTGATTCGTATTTCTTTTAAATTGATCCAGAAAAGGTGTAGACATCATATGCTTCATGGAAAAAATAACTAATTTTGATTTAATAGTGTAAAAAAAAAGTTTTTTATATTATATAAAAGTTAAGTAATATTTTAACATTTATTTTATATTATTTTTTTAGTTTAGCTAAATTCAAAAATATAATTTCGGTGACATTTAATTCTTTTTTATATCCGCCCTGGCAAATGAAGTTGCACTGTGTAATATTACAGTATTAATAACAACATTAAAATTTTACATATTTTATTGTGATATTATGTATTATATGTGTTTTTTTAATATTGTACTTAATAGTTTGTTTTCGAGCGTTAGGATAAAAAAAATTTTGAGTTGGCGCATTAACAAGTCTCACCCCCTCCCCTAATTAGTTGGCCTGGTTGCACCCAAGCTTTTTTGTATCTTTGAAAACATTTTTATATTCTAAAAATTATGTAATCATTCTATATGCAAAAAATTTCAAGGTATAGTGTATAAATAGTATTTTTGTCTAAATTAGGTATTAAATAAATTAATCTTTTTTATATTGTTGTATTTAATATTGTTATTGTTGTTGTTTTTATTTTTTTTACTTAATATATTTTTATCACAATATAATCATAAACAATATTAATTACATGCCATTAGATTTTTTAAGACAAATTGAATTTAAATACATAATAATGGTCAAACTTTTAGTGACGTCAAATTATTTATTTGTACAAGAAGGAAACAAACTTTTAAAGATATGGAGCTCATTGAAGGACGCTTATTTTTTCTTTTAGAATTACCTAATAACAATGAAAAAAAGAAAAATTTGACTGAAGATACAACAATATACTTAGATAAACATCACAAAAATACAACAGTGCAAAAGCACTTTGGACCCCCTTCTCTTAAGTCGATTTGGGAGCACTGTCGCGAAGTTGATTTAAAATTAAAAAATTTCAAGCGTGTTTTCTATATTACAAACAGTTTGTAAGTTCAAGTTTTGTTATTTAAAGTAAAGTTGTATTAAACATATATATATATATATATATATATATATATATATATATATATATATATATATATATATATATATATATATATATATATATATATATATATATATATATATATATATATATCAGCGTAGGCAGGATTTTAAGGTTTCAAATTACACTTTCAGGCATTATGCAAACTTGAAACTTAGGTATGTGTATGCTTATGTTTAATGAGAGTTTTTAATTAAAATTTATACACACATTATATACATATGTAGATTCTTAAAAAACGTAGAGTTTTTCACGTCCTACTACATTTAGCAAAATAAAGTATAATTTATAATATACAAATCAAATTAAAAACAAATCTCCAAATCAATATAAAATGTAAAAATCTATGTTTTTGTTGTAATATTATGTCAAATCGTCATTGCTTCTTTTTCTACTTCTAGATTAATTTCACTTTTGTTCAAATTACAAATCAAAAAGGCAACGGGTTGTAAATTCAAGTCAGCGGACAATTTTATATTTAATGCATCACAATCAACCACAAAAACTCTCATAAATAGAACTCAGAGTGAAACAGTAAAGTCATTAAAAGTAATGTAAATAATTCACTACTGATTGAAATTGCGAAAATAGCGATTTCAATGAGCGTAACTGTTGAACGTCTGAACTTGTTGTTTTATTGTTATTCTATATAATAATAGGCAGAGAGATAATAAATTTTAATTTCTTTCATGCCAGTCTCCAAAACTTTGTTGCATCTTTCAACTTTTAATATTTTTGTTGTAATTTGCTTGATCATATTCACAAATAGTTATAATTTCAAATTACTGAGTCGTATTATTTAACTTTTCATTTTCCTACATCGGGGAAAACGTCGGCCGTTTTCCCCAATGCAAATACAACGTTGATCCAATGTTAGTTTTATCGTATTTATATTAATGAAAATCCTAATAACGACGTGATTAAAAGTAGTTAGCAAAATTAAATTGGTCCAACGTACGTAAAAACATCGCAAACAACGTATGTAAAAACATCGCAAAGGTTTGTGATGAGAACCTATCATGGAAAAAACATATTAGTCTCATTGAAACAAAAAAATCTTCTGCTATATGTGTATTATATAAATATAGGGCCTCTCTTCATTATAAATTACGCAAAATGCTTTTTTTCAGTCTTGTTCATTGTCATCTCTCCTACGCTAATATTATTTGGGCTAACACGCACAAAGTTAAATTAGTAAGATTACAGAGCCTACAAAACCACGCATGTAAATCAGTTAACTATTTAAAAAGATTATAAACCCTTACCCTGTAATAAAACACATGAATGTCCTAAATATATCAAACTCAATTCGTTTTAAATATTAATATTTATGTATAAATATAAGAACAACTTGCTGCCAAAAGTATTTTCTGATATTTTTACGTCGGCTTTTTCACAAAAATAAAATCTTCAGTCAAATACCAACCATAACTATTGCTTGAGCAGAGTAAAATCACAAGTGTCAAAATTCTCAATTATTAGCCAAGTTTTTTTTAAATAAAAAATTCCTGTCAGGCAATTTATGAAGAAAGGATTTATTAAAAAAAAACAATCAACGAATCAAAAATATGAGGAGAAAATCATTAAAAAACGGAATACAACAAAGAAAAATCCTTAAAATATAAGAAAAGGTTACTGAGAGATTGAAAATGAATCAGAAAAACATCCAGCTTATTCTATTGATGGTTGGTACTTGACTGGGAAAGTTAATTGTTTTTAAATCGTGTTTTTTGCCATTTGTAAAACATTTAATATACACGATTACGCAGAATTAAATGTCTCAAGATCTATGGGTGCAATTACAATGAAATTTTCAAAATGTATTCATTATATTCATATAGGAGTTGTACTAGAATTAGGTTCTAATACAAAATAGTTCATGAAATAATGCCTGATACGTCCCCTACCTGACACCCGCAGCTGGTTCAATATGGTAAAATTGCCTTTACTCCTAAACTATATGCATACAGTAGATGATTCTAGTACAACTCCTACATCATTATGGGACCTATGCTATTGTAAAGTTTTGGAGCAAATAAATGACTCTATCTTGAGATATTGCATTCTGGTAATTTTTTTTATGTGTTTTTAGATTTAGGTAAGCAAAGCAAAAAAAAAATTTTGTTACAAATTATTTCAAAATTTGTAGATTTTAGTTTTTTATATATAAAACTTCTAATTTGCAACTTTCTAATGCATTATATAACATTTTAAGCTGTTAAAATGTTATATAACATTATATAACATTTTAACAGCTTTAGTACCACCTTAAAATACAACGTAAAATACAACGTTGAATCAACGTAAAATATTACGCAATGCCGACTTAAAATACAACGTTGGAATAACGTTGTTTTTTGATTGCTGGCGACGTTGCATTTGTAACAAAAATGATATAAAAACAACGTTAGCGGTCGATGTTGGGTCAACGCAACGCGCAACACTCTTTTAACGTATCAATGTATGTGTGTTAGCTGGAATCAATGATAAAAATAAAATTAAATCCTTAGATTTAATTAAGTTTTAATTAAAGAATTACAAATTAATTGAGAAATTTATTTAAGGATTTGCGTTTTAAGCTTGGTTTAGAAACTACAGCAAATAGTACATTTACAAACTACAGCAAATAGTACAAAAGTAGTACATTTAAGATTTATTGTTCGGGCAAGACAAACTTTAGAAAAATATCCTTTATTTTTTATGATTTGAATTATTTAATATTTTAAGCACAATAATTTTTCTTAGAAAAGTAGAAGTAATGGCTCTCATAAATACTGTTGGTCACATAAATACTGTTGGTCACATAAATACTGTTGGTTTACATAAATACTGTTGGTTACATAAATACTGTTGGTCACATAAGTACTGTTGGTTTACATAAATACTGTTGGTCACATAAATACTGTTGGTTTACATATGTAACTTGTTATTGAGTAGCCAAGATGATTCCTCTTTATAAAGTTACAGTTTTTGTTGAGCTTACGCAGTTCTTGAATGAAATTATTCAATTAAAGACTAATGTCATGTGATTAACTGCAAAAATGTTAGTAGGAGTTTTTAAATACATTTGAGTGTGACTCTTAGTGTTATTGAAACAGAGTTTTTTTATTTTAAAAATATATATTATAAGTTTGTCATATATTTTAAAAATACATAACTTCAAATTTGTTTATTTATTTATTAACGGTTTTTTTATTTTTATTTTTTTGTTTTTTGTTTTTTTTTTTTTTTTTTTTTTTTTTGCCTCGCCTGAGAAAATAATTATTTGTAGATATGATATTTATATATACTAAACATATATATGAAACATATGTGTTTAGTATATATAAAAATATATGTTTAGTTTATATGAAAACCGTTTTTAGAAAAGATAACTTTCACATCGAGCAACGAACGCTATCATCATTTCTAATGGCTTGTTATGCTGTCCTTCAATTGAATTGGACTCCAGAGAAAACCAATTCTTTACTTCTTCAAGAAATCACGGTCAAATTGGCATTTTTCCGCGACTACCATGGTGATAGTTCATATAAATTAAATATCTTGGATTGCCTTCAAGGTTTGTATATGGGTTGTAAAATACAGAATTGGTTTTCATCCTATGAATCTATAAAGTACCCTCAAACGACAAACTTTCATCTTGATATGAATTTGATTGTACCAGGTAAATATATTGCTTTTAAAGATCCAACAATTAATTCTAGTAAAAAAAAAGTATGCGTTTCGAAATCCGTGATGAACGAACTTAAAAGATGTGGGATAAAAGCCGTGGTTCGTTTAAATGGAAACGATCACCTTACAAACTTAGAATACTACGGACCTCCATATAGTTCTTCTGAATTTAAACAAGAACAGTTTTTTCATTTTGAAATTCCTTCTGAAGATGCCGGAGTTCCTTCAATTACTCAAATTAATGAGTTTGAGATTCTATGCAAACGATTTGCTGGTAAGGTAGCTGTTCATTGTCACGCAGGTCTTGGACGAACAGCAACTATGATAGGAAGCATTTTGATAAAAAGCTACGGCTTTGATTCACGTGCAGTGTGTGGGTGGCTTAAGATGTGTCGACGTGGTTCTATCATGGGATCTCAACATTTTTTTTTAGACAAATTTCAAAAGCAAATTGAGTCAAAATATTCATTTAATCATCAAATTACAACAACACTTTTAAAAGCAAGACCTCTTCTTGAAGTACCTCAACAGAACCATCCTATTAAAGCAGCAAGTATTGGAACTAGTTGTAAGTGTAAAGGAACAAATAATATTATACGTATTGAAAAAGCTCAAAAAAAGAATCCTGTACCGAAACTAAAATTTGAAGCAACATCTGACCTCACAGACGTAAAACCAATTCGCAGATGTTCTGAAACTCACGTGACTAGCGCAAATTATAAAAATATAATTGAGTCCTCAAAAAGTTATTCTCCACAAACAACTTTTTCAAATGAAATAGCAACAACAAATATTAGGAAAAGTATGTCTATGCCAACAAATCAGTTAAGTGTATCAAAACTCAACCTGATGAGAAACTCAATAATACCTAAAAGGCAACCAAAAACACCTCAGCCTTTAAAGACAGTTAAAACATTGACAAGTACTAAGAGCATATTATCAGATAAAAAAATTTTAAAGGAAAGAGATGATTGGGTAACCGAAGAAGTCGTTGCACCAAGAAAAAGTACGGTTTACTATCTTAGAAAAAATGCAGAAAAAAAATAAAAATATATGATTTGTTATTCAAACACATTATTGAAGTTTTTTTAACAAAAGATATTTCCTATCCATCTATAAACTTGATGTTATCTAATATTATATATATATATATATATATATATATATATATATATATATATATATATATATATATATATATATATATATATATATATATATATATATATATATATATATATATATATATATATACAGTATCGGACAAAACAAGTGCAACCAAATAATGCTAATTTAGTTTCTTTATATAAAAGTGCTGCATTTTTTCAATTTAGAAAACTATGTAACTGTTTAGAGACAACGTTCTTCAAGTTTTATTCATCACAAAGTTCATTATTTGCACACGAAAATTAATAAATTAATCAAAAGTATTTAAAAAATTGATTTCTTTCTGGACAAAACAAGTGCAACTCCACAAAATGTTGAACAAGCTGTATTTCGCTATCAATATTTCGTGGCGAATCCTTTGTTATCAATCACAGCCTTGCATTTTCGAGGCAAAGATTCAATCAGGTGATCAATGAAACTTTGTGGAATCGCTGTGGTTGTCTTAAAACTACTGCTTGACTAATTTAGCAGTGTGTTTCGGATCGTTGTCTTGCTGAAAAACCCATTTTATTGGCATATTCCATTCAGCGTGAGATAACATAACATCTTTCAAGGTGTTTTTTACATAAAATGATCCATTATTCCATCAATTCGATGTATTGGATCTAGACCGTTAGCAGAAAACACCCCCAGACCATTACATTGCCTCCACCATGCTTCACGGTATTATGGCACTAACGTAAATCGCGGCGTTTTCCGGCCGGTCGACGTACACGGCAAGTGCTATTGCTCCCAATGATGTTGAACTTTGATTCATCACTAAACAAGACAGTTCGCCATTTCTGCACATTCCAGTCAATATGAGATGTAGCAAACAGGAGTCTTTTCTTCTGGTTTTTTAGTGAAATCAGCGGTTTTTTCGCAGGGCGTCGAGAAAACAATCCGGCTTTAACAGCATGTCTCTGATTGTTCGGTCCGATACAGACAGCTCTAATTGCTTTTGTATCTCGACTGATGATATCCAGGGATCCTTCTTGATGGACCTGACGATTATAGAATCCTCTCTAGAAGTGGTGGAACGCGATCTTCCACCTTTGCTATCTGCTGCCAACTTCCCCGTAGAACAATATTTGGAACATAGTCTTGATACGGTCCATTTTTTCACGCGATATTTATCACAAATACTTTTTTGTGACATTCATTACGTAATCGCCAATAATTTTATTCTTAGTTCCAATCCAAGACTGTCGCGAGCCACTTTTGCACTTGAAAATAATAAAAATAAATAATCACGCTTCTCAAGGCTTACCGTGTTACATATACCTTGTGATGATACAATAATGCTCTGTGGAACACAACGTCTTGGTTGGATGTGGACTGTATTGATGTAATGAAACACTTGTTGTATTTCAATTCTTTTATTGATGTTCTTCGATAAAACACTTAGATAAAACTCACTTCGGTAAACTGTCTTTATAATACTGACTGATTGACTTCCATATACTGACTGAATTACATGTCGGTTTACATGTCTCTTATATAGTAATATGAACCTGTGTGAACCTGTTCTGGAAGATTTTAGATGCTTCTTCTCGATGCTTTTGGATGCTTCTGGATGCGTCTGGATGCTTCTGAATGTATCTGGATATTTCTAGATGCTTCTGGATGCTTCCAGATGCTTCTTCTGGAAACTTCTGGAAGCTTCTGCATGATTCTGGAAACTGCTGGATACTTCCTTTAATTATTAAAAAACTTGCGTGATGTTGACACGGACCAGACTTAAGAAAATGAAACAAGTCAAAAAAGTTGCACTTGTTTTGTCCGCTGCAAAATGGCACTTGTCAACGAAATTCTGCCTGTATGCTGTCACCTGTCAGCTGATAGCTCATCTCATGGCATGCTATGACTCCAGATTCCTGAACTGTTTGCTGTGGTAGTATAGTTCGTTTCGTTTTTAAGACATGTAAAATTAGGAACACTTTTTAGCATTGTTCGATGTTGGTTGCAAATGTTTGTCCAATACTGTATATATATATATATATATATATATATATATATATATATATATATATATATATATATATATATATATATATATATATATATATATATACATATATATATATATATATATATATATATATATATATATATATATATATATATATATATATATATATATATATAATATATATATATATATATATATATATATTAAAAAATATTTTTCAACGCAATGTATATAAAAACAATTGAGAAATAAGACTATTTTTTTCCACATAATAATAAAAACCGTATTTTTAACAATACAAATAAAACATTTTTTGACTACACACTAAAAAAAAAGGTAGAAATTAATACCTTAGGGTAGGCTACGTGATATAACCTTTGTGCGGTATAATTTTCAACCTTTTAAGGTAAATATCTTACCTTTAAGGAAGAAAATTGTATGAAAGGTTTATACCTTAAGGTAGGTAATAAAGTAGAAAATTATACCTTACAATGGGTATATCACATATCCTACCCTAAGGTAGAAATTTCTACCTTTTTTTTTAGTATTTAGTTTCTAGTCAGCTTCAGCTGGGTTTAAAAACTTATTTGATTTTATAGGTGAAAGTCGGGTAATCATCTCAATAAAAAAAGATTTTTTAGCTTCAAATTATCAGGATATGCTCATTATTAACGTTTTTAGTGTCTGAACCTAAAATAAAGTTAAAAAAAATTAAACTTAACCTATAATTACCATATCAAATAAGTGTTTTATCGCTAAAAATAGTTTTTTATACTATTAAGTCTTCCATTTTTGATTGTTTAACATTTTTTTTTTAATTTTTAGTTCAGGCACAAGCTACACTAATATACTAGCATTTTTCAAAATTTCAACCCTTAATATTGATGTAATTTCAAGATATTTATGTTCTTGAAAGTTAGCTTTTTCACCTTTTTTTGCTGAGTCGACAATTTTTTTTTTCAAATTAAAAAAATATTTGCAGTAAGTTTTAAATTTTTATGTATTATGCTAGTAATTCATAAAAGGTATTTATTATGTGTAAAATATAAGAAAATAGAAATAATGGCTGGGTACCACCTTAAGGAAAAAATAGATTATACACAAGTACTAACTGAAAATTAAGTGTCGAAAAACTTTTTTAAAAGTATAAAAATTTATTTATTGAATTAAAAAGAAAAAATAACTATTGTGTACTATAATAATATACAAAACATAAAAATGTAAGAAAAAAAGGCATGTTTCAAAATTGGAGGGAAGCCCCGGACATATAGTTTAACCATAGTTTGACCACTTTTTCACCCGTATGATACAGATGTAACATATAATTAATTAGTATCGGAATGTTTTCAACACGTTTAAAAAAAATTGCCTTAAAAAATTGCCTCTGATATATAATGGAAATGGAATGGAAAGGAAAATGTTATCGTTTAGAAATATAAACATAAGCTTTTTACTAATAATTATCAACACTTTAAAAACACTTTTTTCAAATATTAGATCTTTTTATTGGAATTAAATAAATTACTATTATGAGTTTGAGTATTATATTAAATATTTATAAAAAAGTTGCTCATTTTTAATATGTAAATGTCCGAAATCACCCTCTAAACATGTCTCCGATACCACCCGATCATACCTCATTCACAAATAGTTTTAAAACTAGTGAATTAAAGTATTAATAAATGTTAATAAATATTTTAAATAAAAATCTTTAATCAACAAAAAGTTATTAGTTTACATAAAAACTAGATATATTAATATGTGAATAAAGTATGGCAAAACACTGCTCTTCTGATGGTGAAAGAGAATATCTTGCTCTCCCATGCAATTGCTCTGACATATTATGATATATGCCATATTTTCACAAAAATAATGTTTTTATAGTATTTAAAAATACTATTAAAAAAATGCGTTTTTTAATGTGGATTTAAAAAATCACATACTTCTTTAGTTTAAACAGTACATCAAGTTTCTGGAGTTACCCGCCATCCAAGGCTACCCCAGACTTTCCTCTAGCAAAAATACAATATAAAAGATATTAAAAAATTTAACCCAAGGTTAACGAAAAAATATGGTAACTGTAATGTGAAAAGAAATACTTTACAATAGTTTAACTGTTTGTTCATATCTGGATTTTTATATTCAATGAACAAACTTTCTTTAACTTTAGGCTCAGGATAAAACAAAATATACTTTATTCCCTGAAAAATCGCTTCAGAAAACCTTCCTAATTACCAGATTTAATTTTAAATGATAAACTAATTGCAAAAATGAGTACTTAAAGTTATTAGAAAAACTACAATTTTAGAAAATACAATTTCTTGAACTTTGTGAAAATTATGTGAATCAATTGATATGATGCACCAAATTCCTCCTTACGTTATTATTTTTCCATAAACTATTCTAATATTACATGGGTTAGAACTCATGAACACGAAAACTACTTTAAACATGAACAATACCTTGACATGACATAACAGAGACATGCAAATGATAAATATATATGAAATCAATTTTTACCAAAAGCTTATTTATATGTATACATACAATAACAGCTTGATTTCGAAAAACTTTAATGATATATTTATAAAATAAGTTAGCAAAGTGTTATTTAAGAATGAGCCAACTACAACTAGACTTGCTGTTTGTTCTACAACTAGAACAAACAGCAAGTTTTATGAATATCACGGTCCTAAATGGAGAACTTTTTAAAAAGCAAGAATTTTTAATATGGTAAAACTTCGATCCGAAAAGTGAAGCCGCTTTTTGCTCTTTTTACAAATAGCGGATTTGAAATTTGAAACAAATATTTTTAACTTTTCGACAGACATTTTTATGAATTAAAATACTTTTTAATAAACATAGGTTTGTAAAACTTTTATATGTATTTTATAATTACTAAACTTTAGATTGAATTATTTTTAATTTATTGGTAACTTTTAATTTATTAGTAACTTGCATTTTATACTTTTATTCCACACTTTGGCTTTAGCTTTGCCTTTTTTACAAATGGCGGATTATTGTTATAAACAAAAAAAAAGTGGCTTCACTTTTTGTCCAATAAAATGCTGCAAGTTAGACATCTAGTTATAATATATCATTGGGTAAAATCGTTAAATTCTTTTAAGCTAATAATAAAAAATGAAATCACCTTTTTTACCAATCTTGCTTATATGGCCAGAGTTAGCCTTTAACCTCTGGTTCTAAAACCAGAACTTTAACTACTTTAACAATTAAGAACGTTACAACAGCCGTAGTTTGTTATAACGTTTTTATTTGTTATGTCGATTGCATTAAACTTCTGCATTTCGAGTGACGCAGTCTTTCGAAGTCGAAGTTTTGAAGTGAACATTTGTAACTACGAAAATCGAAGTCAAAGTTTCGAAGTAAATCAAAACAAATTCGGACTTCGAAAATGCTCGAAATTTTTTCCGAAGTATTTCAAATTTTTTTCGAAGTATTCCGAAATTTTCAAGATGTATATCAAACCGAGTTTTAGATCATTTTTAATGGATTTAAGAGTGTAAAAATTATGCAAAACAGAAAAGTAAATATATAAAACTTTTTTTAAATTTTATTCTTTGTAACAACTATTATTGATTGTAATTAATTTGTATTACAATTTACAGATGTACAAATTAAGTTTAATCATCAGAAATATCAATGGAACCACTATTTGTTTGGATCCTCTTGTTTTGTCGTAGTGGAGTGACAGCAGAATAATTTTTTTGGTAGGTCTTGGATTTCCTTTCTGTTTCCTTTTTTGCTGTTTCAATTGGAAAAGCAGATCGTGCCTTATCCATCTTTCCAATGTTGGTCTTGAGGTAAACAATTTTATCAACATTTTGCGGATCCAATTTTGTTCTTGAATCAGTGACCACACTGCCTGCAGCTGAGAAAACCCTTTCACTTGATGCAGAAGTTAAAGGAATCGCCAAGTATTTTCTTGCAACTTGGGAAAGTAGTGGAATCATTTTTGCATGGGCTTCCTACAACTTTAGGATATCAGTGTTTGAGGAATCGGGACGAGGGAGACCTTTGTATGCGTCTAAATCAATTTCAATTTTTGACTTTCCATCCCTGAACAGAATTTTTTCTCCAGACATTTCTAATGCCATTTTTTCAGCTTCGTCAAGGTCAAAGCCAGACCCTGTCAGATTAAGAGAAGCATTCCTGATTTGGGACAAAAATTCTTGATGACTTGGATGCTCATTCACCAACATGTCCTTGAGCCCTTTTAAATCACCATACTTTTTCACCAATGCACGCTTGAAATAGAGGTGGAGAAAATTTCCCATGGCATGATAGTGATTCTTTGTTCCGCTGGTTGGAAATCGCCTATTCAGCTCACCAGTCAGAATTTGCACAAAGTCTTTTGTGGCAGATTGTATGTCTGATTGAGCAATGAAGTTTAGCTTCATCTGAAGGTTGACCAATTGGCTGCAGGCAAGATGAAGTGTAGGATGCTTGTCAGCAGAAAAGGCCTCGCTGACTTTCCGGAATGAATCCAAGATGGGTTGAACTTCCGCCAAAAGTAAAAACTGACTCTCTGACGGGATGACATCAGCAAATTCACATTTACTGTCTCTCAATTCTTCAAGGACTTCTCTCAAACGAATTGAAGAGGTGATCATCATGGAACTCGAGTTCCATCTAGTCAAGCAGTCTGTGATGATCTTGACGTAAGAAACTAAAAATAGAAAAACAAAAAATAAATATTGTGTCACAATTATTTGCATGTGTGAGGAGGAGGAGGAGGAGGGGGTGGACAATATTTCAGTGTTTATGAGATGTGTAATGCTAATTTTTACCAAATACTTTTATTAAATTAAAAGTTTCAATATTAGACTAAAATATTATTAATATTACCTTAATTTTCTTGATACTTTTTTTGATGTCATTTTGACAATTTTTTCTGTGAACTTTTGCAGAAAGATCCTGTGCTTGTTTGATTGCCTTGTAAATGTCGTTGTTGTCTTCCTCAGAAGATTGGGACGTCCCATTGTGGCTTGAAGACTTGAAAATTTTCTTTTCGTTGGCTTTCGCAGCACTAAGTTAATCAAGTGATCAGCGCAAAGAAAAGAATCTTTAATCTCTGCTGTTTTCGGAATTGCAGCTTTTATATTAGCTGCTGAATTGTGCAAAGCAATCCTTTGAGTGCTGGCTGTGAGAAAAGAAAGGTCTGTTTGCATAACCTTATTCAAAGCTTTAGCTAAGGCTGCAGCTGTATGTTGGCCACTAAATGGCTGGCAAGCAAGAACAAACTTTTTCAGTTCAAAGTTTTTGTTGATGAAATGAAGTGTTACTGATTTGTAGGAATCGTTGCTGCTGCTAGTCCACATGTGTTGGTTCGTCGCGTCCATGAATTGAATAAACAAAACGTATTATTTTATAACTTTCTTTTAACCTCGCTAATTCTATACAAAAATCGTTTCTATATTTATAAAATAACAAAAAGTCCCATGAAAATACTTTTAATTACAATTGAAATAGCGCGTGACTTTCAACACGTATCTACGTGATTTTCAACATGTACAATTCACCAACATAAAAAAGAGAATACGCCCTCTTGGTAAATTAACTCATAAGTCTAATCTTTGTGGGGGCCTTACTGTTCGTCCGGAGCGTGTTACTTGCAGCACACGTTCTTGAGAATCAATTTGAGTAACATCATCGTGATATCTTCCTTTAGCGTTATCATTTTTATCTTTTAGTCTGTAAAAAACATCGTTGACTGATTCTTTTGAACTCTGTAGGTTTGCACGGCAACGCAGGGGTGAAATATGACGCGGATATACCCGATTTGCATATTCGACGTCAAACGATAAAGTATTTTGCTTTTGCACTACACCTGGTATCCACGGTTGGTCACATTTTGTTTCTTGAGTTGTCTTTACTCACACCTTGTCTCCCTCTTTGAATTTCGTATTGACGCCTTTCTCGTCTGTTTTCCTCCGAATATCGATACCTGGGATGAAATAAGTTGGTTTTTTCTTGAATTGCTCGGATGGACTTTCAGTACAATTGGATGATATTGTCTCGTTGTACAGCAAGACTACCAGAGCGATTGAACAATGTGAGCGAGCAACTGTTCTTTTTATCGTCCTGTGTATGCGTTTAACTATACCATTACCTTGAGCTCGATGTGCTGCTCGATATTCCAAATTAACATTCCATTTTCAGCAAAGCTTGTTAACGTGTTGGACCGAAATTCGTTGTCCATTAAAAGACATACCGGCGGTCCAAATAAAGAGAATATTTCTTCAAGTTTACCAACAACTTCAGCAGCTGTTTTAGTTATTAGTTTACGCCATATTGTATATCGTGATGGACCACAATCAATAATCGATAAGTACAGTTCAGCACCTACATCTGTCACGTCAATGGCAACCCGATTCCATTTTTTTTCTACGCTTAGTTGACCATTCTTCCACTGTACGGAGTAAGTATCAATGGAGTTGCACTGGTTACATTTTGCTATTACTGCTGAAACCTCCTTACGTGATACATACTGGTTATTTCGCAAGCAAAGTTATAATGTTCGAGCGACACCAAAGTGACCAATCGAATGAATTTTCCATATGTCTTTTTGTTCAGGTAATCCAACTGCACACACTGTTCTGCACCATTTTTGAGGGATTTGTGAGAGTCAATCAGCCAAATTTATTTCGGATGGAATCCATTGTATTACAATCTAGATACCTTTTACCACTTCCTTAATAGTATTTAACCGTCTTTGTACTAACAACTGAGAAATTCCACGAGTTTTTACGCGATATTCTTCCTTCAAAACTGCGTTTACCCATCCTACGGTGCTCTTGCTATCACTGTATACTGTTAACTCTTTTATGTCCCACCTACTAGCTAAGTTTTTTCCTCGAAGTATCGAATCCAGTTCACTTATATTGATATGGTGTGTGTCACTTGCTGGCCGTAGCCATGCTGCGTCTTCAACAACTACTCTATTAATGAGCAGAACTACCCCATGTCCTATGGATGATGCATCACAATAAAGCTCAGCTTTTCCATTCACTGGTACCAACCATTTTCCACCAACCGGATCCTCCTTTTCCACACGATGAAGCAAATATTTCAGTTTTTCTTTACAATCTTCTGAAATAAAATCACAAAGGTATATTTCCAGCTAAACGTTTGATGTATGAAGCTTGTAAACGCAAACTTACTGCCACTGGGATATGTCCAATGAGTTTACCAAACTTGCTAAAAAGCTGCGATCGTGTAACTGCATTTAAAGGTTCAAATTGTACCACATTGTCTCGTCTCCATATCAGTTTCCCATTTTTATTCTTTTCGACTCTCAATCCTAAGACACGTTCTCGCTCAAGATGTTGAGGAGGTTTACATTGTAACCCGAATTTATGCAAATGCTTCGCTACATTTTCCGCGGTTTCCACACTTTCATCCACAAATATATCATCAATGTAGTTATCACATACTTTCTTTACAGTTGGATTTAAATTGAGCACATGTCGAAGAATTGTGGTCATTATTGTTGAAGCCACGTTAATGCTAAAACACATTCTAGTAAAACAATATCATTTCCCATTTATAATCACCGTTTGATATGGCCAGAGTCTTTTATCAATATGAATTTGGAGGTAGGCTTTTTTAAGATTAAGAGTTTTTGCATTTTAATTTTTCTCCGACAACGCAGTTTTTCTTGACAAACGTCCGCATTCGCTGTATGACAATTTACAAATTCGTTGAGAGCTCGAAAATCTCCCACTGGACGTACCTTTTTGTCCTTATTTTCTTGCACTACGCACATTAGCGGTATCAATACTTTAGGCGGTCCCAACGTTAGTTCGTTATATGGTACAAGAATGCCAGAATTAATCCATTCATTTATTTCTTTGCGGTAACTACATTCGTACTCGTGGCTCATGTTGTATTCACAAATGGTATTATCAATTACAGGCTCTTTATTCCAGTTCCATGATGCCGTCCACTTTTTCACATCAAAATTTGCTGCAAAGTCCTGATGCTTTATTTCGTTTCTTTTGTTTTCTTTATTTGTATTTTTGAAATCACATTTTATTTCGTTTATTTCGTTTTTGTTTTTTATCGTTGTAGTAACGGCACCACATTTCGCTGTGTCACATGCTAACATTCGGACAGTACGGTTTTTATTACCATAAATGATGACTCCTCCAAATTTTTCAATCGCATTCATTCCAAAAATCAAATCAAACCCGAATGGTTTTTCTTTTACAACCATAGAATTAACAATCCGGTGTATTCCATCATTTTCAAATTTGATTACCGTTTCACCCAGCACATGTACAGCTCGTCCCAAAGTTGTGATAAGTTTTTGACTTTTTAAAACAAGACCATGCGTGGATTTAGCATGAATCACAGTGATAGAGCATCCAGAATCAATTAATGCTGTTCGGAGCATTCCATTTATTTTCACTTTTAATGATGGCAACGTCGTTTCTGGGAGAATACTGGATGCCATTATTTCCAAATTCTCCCTTTTCCTTTTAAACTTTGCAATCGTTTGAAGCAGTGTTTAGCTTGATGATCGTGTGAACAAGTCTTGCATTTTGCTTCGCAGTCCCGTGCAAAATGTCCAAGTTTCCCATAATTGAAACATGTAACTTTGTTCGTGTCGGACACACTAGATGTCCGCGGAAGTAACGATGTTGCCATAATCATTACATTATCGAAACCATCTATTTGTCGAGCTTCCTGGGTTACTCGTTCAAGGGTAACAGCAATTTCCACAGCCTTTGCAAAAGTTAGTTCTTCAGATTCCAGTAATAATCGTTTGATTGTAACACTATCGTTAAAACCCGTGATGAATGGGTCGCGCATTCGATCATCTCTATCCGTGAATTTGCATCCTTCAGCAGCTCTTGCAATTCGTCGTGAAAATTCCGTCACACTTTCGTTACTTGCTTTTTTTTTTAGTTGCAAATTCAAAGCGTAGTATTAACGATGACTTCGGTTTAAAAAGCTTCATGATATTTTCCTCGATATCTTCGTAGGTAACTGAGTCATCTTCTAGAATTCTTCCGCACTTTCCAGAAGGATCACGCTCACCTGGAGGCGCGTCGTCAGGAGCCCTTATTTTTTCAAACTCTTTCCACAATGATTTTGTTGAAGGAGCCATTTTTTAACTTGTAGAGAGGTTTTTTTTAAAGTTGCACAACTAAATGTTTCGTGGTAATATATCGAATGTTTGTTTATTTACTCTGATATTTAATCAGGTAAAGTCGTGAACTATTTTGTTTTTGTTAAAATTTTGTATTTACTAAATCTAGAACTATAAATTAGTGCTTAACCGACTTTTTTTAACTTTGAAAATATAAACTTCGAAAATTTAAAATTCGAATTTCATTACTTCGAACTACTAACATCTAACTTCTTCGAACTACTAACTTTCTAACTTCAAAACGCAATTCGCGTCATATTAAAACGATTATAACATTTAAAATGCATTATAACATTTTTTCTTGCTTTCTGTTATTATAAAAGTTTATTCATTACTCTTCCTCTTTGTGAATAAAAATGTTGATTATAAAACTTTTAATATAATCAATAGAACTACAAGTTGGAGTGCGTCAAACAGTTTAAAAAGATAATTTGCGATAAGCAAAAAATAGCAAACTTTTAATTAAAAAAAACTTAAAAGAAAAATTGAATTTCGAAAATTTAAAATTCGAATTTCGTTACTTCGAAATACTTTGATTGTATACGCAATGATAAGGACCATTTTGTTCAGATTCGAAAAAATCGAATTCCGCGTTTTCGAAGTCCATATTTTTAAACTTCGAAATTCGAGTTCGAAAAATACTTTGATTCTCGAAGTTTTTCGAAGTAAATTCTTCGTAATGCAGAAGCATGGACTGCATATCATTTATATTTGTTTGTTTGTCTTAATCGTCTTTTATTTTTAACTAGTAAATATAATTGATTGTTAATTGCTAAAATTATTGATATTAATATTTGCTTTTATCATTTAATGTACATATTTATAAGTTGTTTAAATATTTATGTATATATTTTGACGACCTTATTTTATTTTAAACTAGCCCAAATAGAGGATCTTGCGATAGCACCTGTATCTTATTTAAGGTCCTGTCTGTTTTTATAGATCTTATTTTTTATGGAAACGTTTTTTTTTAATTCTAAAGACTGTCTTGGAAGCAACCAAAACACTTTGACTGAAAGCGCAACCCCTTATGGCGAATTATCGTCATTATCATTATTGTGTGTGTTATGCGTGGACTCGTATATACACGTTAAACAGTTTATTTAATTATATCCCTTAAACAAGCGCTTATGTTTAAACTATGCTTTCATTAAAGCTTCCTTTAAACCGATACTAAAAAACCAACCTCTTACTTCATTTGACCGATTTGAAGCATCAAGATGCCAACTTTAAAAAATAGTCAGCAGGACAACGAAGAATTTTTGCTCTTGCTATCTCACGCAGCGAAAACTTTGGGGAAAAAATAAGTAAAAATTTAAAAGAAAGAAATAAAGAATTGAAGAACCACGTGGAAAAAGGCATTATGTCGATAAAATACAAGTTTCCATTTTTTACGCAGATAAGTTGTTACGCTCTTTTGCATGAACTTAAAAACTTCGCTAAAAATGTGCTAAAATACGATTTTTACAGTTGATGAAAAATACGATTTTCACAGTTTATTTATGTTATAAGTCAATTCACCAATACATAACATAGATGTGGGTGTTATGTGGGCTTTAACACATTCATCCATTAATAATGCTATTTTGACTAAAATATTGCTCCATAAATGTTTAAATACCGTTGCGGTATGTAATATTTATGTAATATTAAAATATCCTGAACAAAATGTGTCCTAAACTTTAACTCCAGAAATTTCAGCTCCATATTAACGTAACATAACGCCTTAATAAAAAAAAAAAAAAAAAACATAACGCCTTCATCCCCTTATGTCTTCAATTTGTAATAAATATATTTCACAAACTAGGTAGAAATAAAAATATTCTTTAAACAAATCGGTTTTTTGCTGAAAAACATTATTTTATAAAGTAAAAATAAAATCATATTAAACTATGGAAAAAGCCAACACATTTACAAGTAGTTGCAAATATTATTTAGAGTAATGTCACAAAAAGACACTACTTTCAGGATTTGTTCTAGCTCGCCTATTTTACATCTAACTTTTTATTACTTTTACATAGTAGCTTAAGTAGTACGATAGATTCGAAAGACAAAACTTTAAACTCTTTTTAATCATCAGAAATACGCAGCTCGCGCAATTAATTTTAGAAATCATCTTACACACTCTGCGCCATTTCTTAATATTAAAGCTTTGAATGTTTATCAACTTAATATTTTATGATTTGTGTTCAAGTGTAAAGAAAATTTATCTCCACAGGTATTTCAATATCTTTATTCCTTAAAACCGAAAAACAAATACAATTTACGAATTGATAACAATCTTAATGTCCTAGTGGCCCTCTTCTTTGGAACAAAATAGTTTTACCTAATTTTGACTTTTCAATCCAATTAAATTATTCTGCATTCAAAAACAAAATTAAAGAAATTATCTTTTCAATTGAAAAAATTTTTATCTATTTTTAATTTTATCATTATTGCTGGTATATTAGACTTTATTGTATGTTTTACTATTTACGAATATTTCTATGATTTTTTTGCAAACTTAGGTATTTAATGGATTTTATTTTTGTATTTTAATGCTTTTCATTACTCTGTTTTGTTAAACTTTATAATATTGTTTTTATTATTTTACGAATTTTTATAACTTCATTATAATATTACGTATTTATGTTATACTCGATACTAAAAAGCATAGTAAAGGGCTTCATGATAAGATCCTCAAGATCTTGTAGAAGTCCTACCGCTAAATTTGTAACATGTTAAATTTTGTATTAATGGCGCAATGGTTGAACGAGATTAAATGACTAAATGATGATCATTGAATAATGGAAACCAAATGAATATATAAATGGTGCTTTTATGACACTAATGGTAGAGATAGCGATTAAATAATGGAAATTGAATAGAAAAAGAATAAAAAGTGCAGAAAAAAGCATATGCATAAGTGTTGTCAATTGTTTTTAATTAGCATTGTTTACTTTAGCAAGATTTCAATGTTAAAATAGATAGAAATAACACTGAAACTTGTTCGCTTTATAACGCCATTTTATAACGCATTTTATAACATTTTATAACGCCAGATCATCGTCTATTAAATTTGAATCTGCAAAAAACATGCAAGCGACAAGCAACCAACATTTTTTCGAAATTTCGGTAACGATTAATTTGTTTAATTAGCCATTAGAGAAAATATAGTTAGAAAATATAGTTGGAAATTATGAATTAACATCTATATCCAGAGATTTCTTTGTTTTATAATAATCTCCCCACAAACTATTAAGCCATTGCACAATATATGGTTCGCTCTAAAAAATAAAAATTTACATATTCGATAATGAAATTTCAACTTTACATAAGAAAATGTTTATTTTAAAAGAAAATTAAATATTATAAGAAAATGAATATATATATTCGTTTGTTTTCTGTTCTATAACTGTTATTTTCTGTTTCTTATATTATTTCATTTTCTTTATATATATATATATATATATATATATATATATATATATATATATATATATATATATATATATATATATATATATATATATATATATATATATATATATATATATATATATATATATATATATATATATATAAAGAAAATGAAATAATATAAGAAAATAAAAACGACAGTAAAAAGAATGCAGATAGTAAATTAAAAAAATATACTTTTTTTGGCCCAGTGTAATCAGGATTTGTCATAGTCTGTTCTAACATCCATTCTTCACATTCTCTGTGTTTAGAAAGAAGATCTGGGTATTGTTGTTGTAAAAAGTATTTAATGCGTAAGGCCCGAATTTTGTCATACAGCAGATGACCTAGAAAAATATCTGCCATTAAAAAATCGATTATATTAAAAAATCAATTGAAAATCGTTTGAAAAAAGTTAAAGAAAGATTATAATTTTGTTTTGCAGTTATAGTTACCCTGTAGTTATAGTTACCCTGTAGGCTATATTCAAATCAATGAATGAAATGATTGTCTGATAAAAGTTAAACTATTTCTTTATTTTTTTCAAAATCCTTTTTGAAATGACATTTACTAATTACCAAAAAATCCAGAAACGGAACCAATAACGGATCCAGTTGTGAAAAAAATAATCCCTTGAGCTAAAAAGTAGATAAAAATATATATATAAAATGTTAATAAAACTAGGCATAACAAATTTAAATTTTATAAATATAGCTAGACGTAACAAATTCGGCATAAAAAATGCAATAAGCAATATAAATAAATTACTTCTGACAAAACCAATCAGTCCTCCTGTGATTCCAGCACTCACTGTTGATATAGAAAGATCATTCATGCGTTTATAATCTTTCTGAGTTGGAAGATGATATTCTGCGTTGCTAATCACAGATCGAACATCTAAAAAAGTATTCATGGCTACAATCAATAAAATTTTAGCAATAACTTTCACACAATCAAATATTTTAAGGCGTGTTTCCACTCATCGGGAACGGGATAGGAAAGGAAAAAATAATTACGTGAGCATTCGTAATAAAAGTTTTTATTTGTCCGAAAGAAAACTGCGCATGCTCACGTGATTATTTTTCCGTTCCCTTTCCCTTTCCCGTAGAAAAACGGATGAGTCGAAACTCACCTTTACACCTCTACTGCATGATAAAATTCAATTTTAAAAGTTACGTCACGATGCGGTAAATATAAAAATAAATAAAAAAGTTTGCAAACGTTTAAATTTTGCAAATAATTTGAAATTTTTAATTTTATGAAAAAAATAGTGTTACTAATTACGACACTAAATAAAAATATTTAGCTAATGTTAATTGTTAAAATTCTAAACATTTTCAGTACAACGTGAAATTGCAGTATGGTAATTTGTCAGACATTTAAATCAAAACGATATGAAAAAAAATTAAGTTCAAAACAAATATTAATATTATATATTAATAACAATAAAAATAGAAATCAGAATCGTACAACTTAACTTTGACATTAACATTAAGGAAAAAAAAATTCGGACTATCAGTTATATAACTGATTGCAAAAAAAAAAAAAAAAAAAAACGAATTTAAGCATCACCACGAATTGTTTTTCTAAACAGAAAATATATTTTCGATCAGATTAAGAATAGGAGAATATGGAGGTAGAGATTGAATTCGATAGGCGGTTAATTCTTCAACGAATTATAAACCGCTGTAATGATGTATATGCGCCTTATCCATAATAAAAATGGCGTCATAAATATTTTGATGTTCATAAGTATTTTTAGCGCTATTTTAAAATCTTCACCATTAACGGCTCTTTCTTAAATTTTCTAAAACTTAATTCCATATTTGCTCACGACAGAAATGTTATAGCAGCTTGTACAGTCAACTTACCAGCTGCAAGACTGCCTAATTAGTTCGCTTGAAGTTACTTTGCATACCTACGTTCCCGAACTGTTATTCTTTTCAAGGTATTATGAAATAGATTAGAAGCTTGCATTATAGTACTTTTTCAATTTCAATTTTGTAGGTTAGTGTAACCCATTCAACAAGTTCTTTCACAACTAAGGTGTTAACAACAAGTTCTTTCACAACTAAGGTATTAACAACAAGTTCTTTCACAACTAAGGTGTTAACAACAAGTTCTTTCACAACTAAGGTGTTAACAAGTTCTTTCACAACTAAGGTGTTAACAACAAGTTCTTTCACAACTAAGGTGTTAACAAGTTCTTTTACAACTAAGGTGTTAACAAGGTCTTTCACAACTAAGGTGTTAACAACAAGTTCTTTCACAACTAAGGTGTTAACAACAAGTTCTTTCACAACTAGGTCTTTAGGTCAGCATGATCAAATTTTATTTAACTTTGAGTGTCAATTTGGAATATCTATCACTCGCTTGCCTTATCTGTCAATTTGCGATGTTTAGTTATAGCTTTATTTTAATAGGCTCATGTCGATTCGGCGAGTAATGATGAAATTGATTAGCCACTGCACAAACTATTTGTGTTGTGTTCTTAAGAAATCATTTATTTCTAATTCTTGATGCAGGGTTGGGTTCTTAATTATATAATTTCTTACGCATTTAATTGCAACAATTATTTATTTAATTACATCAATTATGTAATAGATCGGTAAACCTGATATTTAAACGTTTGAGTAATTAAAATTTTTCTAGATAATTTTGGTTTAATTATATACATAAATACAACAAATACAAACATAAACACACGCAAGTATAAATTAAGACTAATTAAAATTAACTAGAAATATTACAATTATTTTGTTTACAAGTTCCTTCTATCTTAACTCATAATTAACTAGGGATTTTAAATTAGTTTTCCTTCTTTAAAGTTACTTTCACCACAGTATGTATGTATATATATGTATGTATGTATGTAGATATATATCTTATAGTGCTGAGTTAGGTGAGCATGATGATGTCATACTCACCTAACGTCAAATAGCCTGCTGCAGGGGGCTTCAGTACATACATCGACTGACAAATAGCCTGACTTGCAGTGGAGTGCTGCTACATCGACTGAGGGTTTGGTATGGGTCAGCAACATGTTCATTCATTATTCTTCGTTTTCCCTCATCATTTTCTAAAAACGCTCACTTAATTTAGGCTAGCAAAAAAAAGTGATCAATTGCGCATATAAATATGCTATAGTAGATATATATATATATACATATATATCTACATACACAGATATAATATATATATATATATATATATATATATATATATATATATATATATATATATATATATATATATATATATATATATATATATATATATATATATATATATATATATATATATATATATATATATATATATATATATATATATATATATATATATATATATATATATATGTATATAACACAGGCCAACAAAAAAAAAAATTTTTTCTGGTGCCGAGCAAACAATTAGTTTTCTTTATAATATTTCTCATTTTGATTTTAAATATGCAACTCCTTTTTCATCATCACGTCAAGTGGTAAAGATATTTGGGCTCAAATCTTTGGTATTTGGACTAAAGTCCCTAAAATTGTCGAAAAAAAAATTATTCAAAAGTATGTCAAACTGGGTCTTAAAAGAAGCCTATTTTCATAGAGATTTCAAAAATGTTATTCGTTTGTAATAAAAATAAGTACTTTATGTATAATTGCTGAAAAATATTTTGGTAAAATTTTTTTGAGTATTTAGCATTTTTTTACATAATTTTTTTGTCAATGAGTTTTAAGATAATTATTTATGTTTTCCAAAATAATGACAAAAATAATTCAGAAGGCTGTAAATCATCTCTCTTTAATCTCTAATCGAAGTTTTATCTAATACTAATTTAAATCATTGGAATCATTGAAATATTGATCAATTGCCCATTCCTTAAACAAACATCTTGCATCAGATTACAAGCTCTACTTTGTGTAATTGTTATTCTTTTAATAGTTTTTTTATAGCTTTAGTTCTGTACAATACAACAGTTGACCTGGAAATTTCACAGGATATTGCAATACATCATTACATAGTTAAAGCCAATATATTTTTCTCATAGCAACATTTCTTTGATAAACCTAAATATCAACTTGATATGGAAGTAAAACTTCACCATTTTTATTGTAAAATAAGGATGCAACCTTAATTACTCTTAGAGCATTGTATGCATTCTTGTTAATTGAAATGCTAATATACTTATCTATTTTTTTGTCACTTTCACCAACCTTAACTGGTTATCCATCTGATATCCATTTCTCAATTCTTCTTTTAGCTTTAGCTTGACTTTTCTGAATAATGCTGTTTTTCTACGCAATTCAGAAAACTCAGGGTTATTCAAATCTTCTTAGACTTTTGCTTTTCTGAAGTGACAATCTGAATTTCTATGCATTTCAGTTAATTTATGTTCACCTCAGCCTTTCCTTGCTTTTTGCTTGATTTTCCAGACTCTTTATATTGCCTTTTTTCTCAATTTGATTAATTCAAAATCCGATTTGCATAATTTAGTGTTTAATCTCCTTTTTCTTATCAATTCAGTCATATAATTG